CATGGAATATTACTCAGCCATTAAAAAGAATTCATTTGAATCAGTTCTAATGAGATGGATGAAACTGGAGCCCATTATACAGAGTGAAGTAAGCCAGAAAGATAAACACCAATACAGTATATTAATGCATATATATGGAATTTTAAAAGATGGTAATGATAACCCTATATGCAAAACAGAATAAGAGACAGAGATGTACAGAACAGACTTTGGGACTCTGTGGGAGAAGTCGAGGGTGGGATGTTCTGAGAGAATAGTATTGAAACAAGTATACTATCAAGGGTGAAATAGATCACCAGCCCAGGTTGGCTGCATGAGACAAGTGCTCAGGGCTGGTGCACTGGGAAGACCCAGAGGGATAGGATGGAGGGGGAGGCGGGAGGGGGGATCGGGATGGGGAACACATGTCAATGTATGGCATAAACCACTACAATATTGTAAAGTAATTAGCCTCTAACTAATAAAAATAAGTTAAAAAAAAGACCCTTGGCCACTACTCTCTCAATCCAAGTAATTCCTTGAGTTTTGAAAACAGCTTTGATTTCTTACTCTCTAAAAAGTAAATTTTAGAATGTATATTTACAGATGCCCATTATAAAATAAGGAGACAAATGTACAATAACCTAAGTATCACAAAGGAGACTCTAGAACCCCTGGGACCACCATCCATCAGCCTTTTCACCAGAGGTAACCTCTGATACCAGCTTGGTGTGGCCTTTCAGTTACTTTTTTATTTACATACTTCAGTGTGTACCTTCAGAGCAATATTTTTCAAACTATGGTTGAGTCCTGAATCAGTTTAATGAGCCAGGACCAGCATTTTGAAAAGTGGAATGGAATGGCATGAAACAAAACAGGATAGAAAAATTTCAGAGTGTACTGCATGTAGTAAGGGTTCACTCAGTCTAGATATAAAATGTGTGTCTTACTGAGGATCATTTCCAAAAAAAAAAACACTTTGAAAGCTACTATTGTAGAAAATCTATAATGCTACCTTATGCTTTCTTTCCCTCTTCTTAAATAAATGGTGACACATTATAAGTCTGGTTTACAATTTTTATTCTATCTGTATTGGATATTATTTCTTATCAATACACAGTTATAGCTCATTTTTAATGACCACTATTGAACAGTACTACATGTGCATGCATGTTCTGTATGCATGCATACACTTCTGTCTTGGTGGGAATTTGGTTTTCTTTCAACTTATCATGATTGTAAATGATGCTGCAGTGAATATATGTGTGCATACAGTGAATATATGTGTGTGTGCCTCACTGTGCATAGTGCAAGAGGTCTTTTAGTGTAAATAAGGAGAAATTAAATAGCTGGGTCTTTTGATACACATATTTGCAATTTTAACAAATACATTTTAAAGGAGCTGAATCAATTTGCACAGAAGAGAATCCACTTTTCTATCCCTTGATCAACACTATAGTCAAACTTTTCAATTTTACCATTGTGATTTTGTTTTATTTTGTGTTTATCTACATGCTGATGAGGTACTGCACTTCTTTGGTGAATTTTCTGTTTGTATCCCAAGTTTCTTTTTTCTTATTGATTTGTATATGCTCTTTATATTGTCTGAATACTAATCCTTTTACTGTATTTTATATGTTTCAAGTATTTTCCCCTAATCTGTTACTTCTGTTCAGTTTAAAGGGCAATTCCCAACCCTACCACCTAGACTAAAGACAGTCTGTCAAGGTTATCTGCTGCTGTTATGTCATGACAAGTCAGGACTGCACGACCAGTTCAGCACTCTGGGTGCTCTGGCAGGACTACTGAGATGTGAGTGATCACCTGGGTTAGCACTTGGGAGAAGAAGGAAATTTAAGGTTCATAATGATGGGAGTCTGACTGCAACATTTGCAAACCCTCTTGATTTCCTGAACAACTTCAGCTAATCTTAGGTAGGATAATTTTTATTCCTCCTTTTCTACCTTATCAAATCATTACTG